TGCTGGTTAGCCTTCTTAGATGAATCATTGTCAATTATTATTCATTTTCACTAGTATTTCTTTTTTCATCTTCATTTCTCTTGCTTTTTATTTCAACTCCCATCCATAAGAAGTAGAAGTAGAGAATATAGCTATATGGCTAAATTTGAATGACTCCTGCTGGTTAGCCATCTTAGATGAAGCATTGTCAATTATTATTCATTTTCACTAGTATTTCTTTTCATCTTCATTACTCTTGCTTTTTATTGCAACTCCCATCCATAAGAAGTAGAAGTAGAGAATATAGCTATATGGCTAAATTTGAATGACTCCTGCTGGTTAGCCTTCTTAGATGAAGCATTGTCAATTATTATTCATTTTTCACTAGTATTTCTTTCATCTTCATTTCTCTTGCTTTTTATTGCAACTCCCATCCATAAGAAGTAGAAGTAGAGAATATAGCTATATGGCTAAATTTGAATGACTCCTGCTGGTTAGCCTTCTTAGATGAATCATTGTCAATTATTATTCATTTTTCACTAGTATTTCTTTCATCTTCATTTCTCTTGCTTTTTATTGCAACTCCCATCCATAAGAAGTAGAAGTAGAGAATATAGCTATATGGCTAAATTTGAATGACTCCTGCTGGTAAGCCTTCTTAGATGAAGCATTGTCAATTATTATTCATTTTTCACTAGTATTTCTTTCATCTTCATTATTCTTGCTTTTTATTGCAACTCCCATCCATAAGAAGTAGAAGTAGAGAATATAGCTATATGGCTAAATTTGAATGACTCCTGCTGGTTAGCCATCTTAGATGAAGCATTGTCAATTATTATTCATTTTTCACTAGTATTTCTTTCATCTTCATTACTCTTGCTTTTTATTGCAACTCCCATCCATAAGAAGTAGAAGTAGAGAATATAGCTATATGGCTAAATTTGAATGACTCCTGCTGGTTAGCCTTCTTAGATGAAGCATTGTCAATTATTATTCATTTTTCACTAGTATTTCTTTTCATCTTCATTTCTCTTGCTTTTTTATTGCAACTCTCATACCTAAGAAGTAGAAGTAGAGAATATAGCTATATGGCTAAATTTGAATGACTCCTGCTGGTTAGCCTTCTTAGATGAAGCATTGTCAATTATTATTCATTTTTCACTAGTATTTCTTTCATCTTCATTTCTCTTGCTTTTTATTGCAACTCTCATACCTAAGAAGTAGAAGTAGAGAATATAGCTATATGGCTAAATTTGAATGACTCCTGCTGGTTAGCCTTCTTAGATGAAGCATTGTCAATTATTATTCATTTTCGAATAGTATTTCTTTCCTCTTATTTCTGTCGCAATTTATATCTATGACATTTAGGATGCAGAAAGAATTATTATTATTCATCTAATAATGAAATTCATAATAATACTAATGCAATATTTTGTTTATTTTCCTGTTAAGTACAGACAGAACATGTATATATTAACTTTGGCAAGGCTACAATCGATCGCCTAATTATACAAATGCATATTAGCGCAAATCGATTAGTATATATTTAATAAAAAGAACTAAACAAGCTGGCCCTGCCACCAGAAAAAAATCTCATTTTTCTTAAGTATGCAAACGCACATACATACACATGTCATATATATAAATTTGTAAAATAATTTCATTCTTTTGAATGCTATGTTTATCCACAAACACATACCCACACTGACATAATTCCACATGCACTCACATGTCCACACATAATGCTAATCTATCTGGAAATCGCAATGGCCAAGTCGCTGGTCGTTTTACAAGTGAAAAGGAAAGTGCGCCATCTTTTGTAACATATTTATCTTCATTCACAGGAGAGCGTGCATATCAATTAGACTTGCAGAGTTGTCGATCTGAACTTCTGACCTCCACATTGGAGAGTTCCGCGTGCGGGTCAAACGCTGACAGATTCACAAGTGAAATTGACGAATGGACAAATACAAACGAATCACTTTAATTAAAATGGCATGAAGAATGCAACAGAAACGTTTCGTACAGTTCGATTCTTACTTTCATTGTTGCTTACTACAAAGTTTCTTTATTTTAATTCAATCTTATAACAATTTCCGAGTTTCAATTTTACAGAATTTAACTGAATTTGATACTACAACGTTCTACTGGCTTCAGCCTTCTAAAATTTTTGAAACAATTTCTTATTTTCAAAACAAACAAATTTACTCAACAATGACCAGATTTATTTTTACTAATAGTTACAAGGCCCAAGGGCCACTCAAGTTAGAGGGTTACTTAATACGATTGTAAAGAAAGTGGAAGTAAGAGACTATAATGAGGACGAGTAGGATAGGTATCGGTTGATCCTGGACTTAAAGACTCAAAGATTGTAGTTGTTAAGGAAGCACACTCTTGGGAATTTGTTCTACAAAGTAACAGTTCTAGAGAAATAAGCTGCCCGATTAGAATTGTTTTTTTATCAAAGAAACACGAAGGGAATGTAGAGTGACACCGTGAATACGGCATGGCAGATCCTCGCTGTGAAGGTACGAGTTGGTGGTATTAAGGAATGTAATTCATCCGAACATCTGCCATACTAATTGTTATATAGTAGTGAAAGGCTGATTATGTGAACATTGAAAATAATTGGTCGAAAACAATTATTCGAAAAACATTCATTCAAATTCTAAATTCTTTGAAAGAAAATTAATCGAACGGGCAATTATACTAAATGATAATTATTCGAAATGCAAAATTCTTTGTTGCAATAAAAATGTAAAAATTAAAAGAGGAAATATACAAATGATAATTATTCGAAATACATATATGGTTAATAAAAAAACAATTTAGTAAAGAAAATCCTTATAACCTTAAGTTATATGATACTGCACACAAATAATCAACTACTGAAGAGAAATCGTTAAAGGATGTCACTAATTTTTTAAGTTTTTCATTTACGTCACAGTATTTCTTGACGTTCTTGATATTTTGGCAAGTTGCAAGCTTACTTTTGCAATACGAATTACTTGCAAGTCCTGTTCTCTTTTAAGAGCGTCTAAGAATTTCCACATTGTGGGATGATGGGATGACACTTGCTTTAAAAAACCCTATGCCATCCTTCAAGTGCATTATTAGTTCTAGCATTGACTCTCTCAAAGCAAGACTACATACGTATTTCAGACATAGGCATTTCGAAGAATTATGATTTAGTATAATTGTCCTTTCGATTCATTTTTATTCAAACAATTTACAATTTGAATAAATATTTTTCGAATAATCGTTTTCGAATAATTGTTTCGAATAATTTTCTCGATGCGGAAAGGCTGGTGACGTTTTGTTTGTGGGATAAGGGAAGAAGGACCGAGAATAATTCATCACGTGTAAGGCCATGTAAGTGCTTTTCGATAGCAATACTCCATTCTTGGTCTGATCCGACTCTTGTAGAGATAGAATATGACAGCAGGGACTAGCTATTTTTGGAGAGATTCAATGAACCGACCATTCTGTAAGCATCTTTTCCGATAGCACGAATATATAAGTTCCATTTGAGGTCGGGAGTAAGCTTTAGTCCCTTATAGGCGTTCGAGGAAAGGAGGGTATTACCATCCACCAATATTAGTGCTGGTTTAGGGTCTGCTTGGTGGTGATGAAATTATTCGAGTTTAGTCTTGGATTTCCACATTGTTCCGTGAAAGTTAGGTCAGAAGAAAGATCAGCTGCCTGAAACGGGTCATCCAGATATTTTGACGTGCACCCATTCACTATGGTATCATCTGTATATATATATATATATTTAATAAGGACCAATATGAAGAGGAATATAAAAAAAAACCCTGTAGATTTGGGTTCTTTGGAAAATCACTGAATCAAATATTTGTACAAATCAACAGTATCTACCAAAATTCTCTATTCATTTATCAGTATGATAGACATATTTAAAGATTGAAATATTTATCAGTAACACTTATCTCCCTTTACACCAAGATAGCCCATGTGAACAAACAGTATTTCCATTAAATCGTGTGGCCAGAGCAATGGCGAAGACGTATTTGTTATTCAGTACTGGCGCCAGATAAATCTGACTGTAGTCGGTATAGCGAAAATAACTCACCAAAATACATCGTCTTCAATATTCCATTCTTGTAAATAAAAAGCATGGCAGTGGGAGTTAGTTATTTTCTGGAGAGATTCAATAAAACGACCATTCTTCCAGGAACTTTAGCGATGGCACCAATATATGCGTTCCATTTTATGTCGTGAATGAGCTTTTGCCACATTAGGCATTCTAGATTAGAGGCCTTGTTGAGGGTATGATCACTCATCAGGATCTGTATAGATTTGGGGTCTGGTGAAGAATGTTACGAATTTACTTTTGTATGCATTGAATGATACCAGCCAGCCTTTTCTCCATTGAGCCGTGTAAGTTTGTTCAGAGGAGAGATCAGCTGCCAGGAATTGTCATCACGATAAAAAAGATTTTATTGTATCTTTGAATCCAATTCGTCTTTCATATAACAAGAATCATCTCTGTTTACTTTTTAAGGATAGGAATGTTCTCTTTTGGTTTGAGAATAGTTGAATGAAGACTATTCCGTCACTTTTGGTCAGTTGGGCGTCTAGACATGTTTGGCGGTTGAGTTACGTCTGGAGTTGTGACCGATTTTAAGAAAAAAATCGAAATATTTGTTAGTGACAAATATGGGGAGATTGTCCAAATAGCTAGAAGTTATCTGTTGCAGTCGGAATCAGTTATGGAAACGTTCAAAAGGAGACAAGAGGTGTTCCAATCATTCTGAATAGAATTCGTGACAAACTTCTCCACAAAATGAACAGAAAACAAATAAATAACAATATTATTTCGTTTTTTATTTCCAAAATAACGGTTTTTATTTATGTAAAGTATGGCCATTTTACAAATGGTTGCAACGCATCTATCTATCTATCTATCTATCTATCTATCTATCTATCTATCTATCTATTTAGCTAGCTAGCAATCAAATGATCATGTAAGAGTGAGTCTGGGCTGTATAGTCATATACATGCATATTGACGTGGGATGATCAATGAAGAGATTCCGTTCTAAAAAGAGGGTGGATATTTTACTTTTCTCATTCTCTCTATGTTAGTGGGCTCCTTTCTTTCTTTCTTTCTTTCTTTCTTTCTTTCTTTCTATCTATCTATCTATCTATCTATCTTCAAATGATCATTCAAGACTGAGGTTGGGCGGGAGAGTTACGTATGTGCACATTGTTGTGTGGTGATCAATGAAGAGATGCTAGTTTTCTAAAAAGAAAGTGCAACCATTATCTATCTATCTATCTATCTATCTATCTATCTCTCTCTCTCTCTCTCTCTCTCTCTATCTATCTATCTATCTATCTATCTATCTATCTCTCTCTATCTATCTATCTATCTATCTATCTATATATATATATATATATATATATATATATATATATATATATATATATATATGCTCTTATTAATATATCGTACCAGAAAGATAAAATCAAGTAAGACTGAACTGGAGAGACATATTCGTTCACATTGTCGTGTGGTGATCAATGAACCGATAGCGTCTTTCTAAAAAGAAGGTGCAATCCTCTTCTTTCTTTCTTTCTTTCTTTCTTTCTTTCTTTCTTTCTTTCTTTCTTAGTTTGCTCATTATCTATCTATCTATCTATCTATCTATCTATCTATCTATCTATCTATCTATCTATCTATCTATCTATCACCTTTGAATTCCAGCCACAGATGATCAACATATTGTTTTTAGTATCTGTCTATATTTCTGAGATGAGGTATTATGTACACTATTTACAATATTCGGACTATTGCCTTCATCTTTATCGCCATATTATTATATTCGGCCGAAACGTTGTAATAAATATGGCGAGAAAGATGAAGACAATAGTCCGAATAATGTAAATAGTGTATATTGTGTTTTGTTCCTTTGAGGATCAAATTTAAATGCACATTAGCAAGAAATAAAATCAATTTTCAAAATCATTTTAATTCATGTTAATATTTTTATTTGTCTATTTTTACGTTTTTATTCATGTTAATAATTTTTAATATAGGCATGAATACAATTCTTTTTAGGGTTTGGTCACTCTCCAGCAGTTTAGATTTAACCCTGTCGATACTTGTCGATAGACTCAAGTAAAATATAATCCTCACCAATGTTTATCTATAGAATCAAGTATAGACACGCTCAATAAACGTAACCACTATCAATTTTTATAGACTCAAGTATAATTCATTCCAATACTGTTCTATAGACTCATGTATAAACCCGGCCAATATTTAACTACAACCTCAAGTATAAACCTTATTAAAGTTTATCTATAAACTCAAATATTATAAAAAGAGGTTTCGATATTAAATTACCGAACAACAGTTGATATATCGTAAAATTAACTAGCCAATTATTAGTTATTATGCCATAATTTTAATTATACTTAGAATAAATATTTATATTTCCACATTCAACCCGCTGTTTTACATCTTGGCCTTCTCGTTCCTCCTCCTTTCCTTGCATGTGTTTTTTTTACGCGCAGTAAGGGCTCACACAATTTAATACGTAAGAATCTTTAAACAATGCTCATAATACAAGGAAACAAATCAGGCCATGACTTTTATAAATGTCACTCTAATTAGAAAATAACTTTTTTACACAGGAAATACCTAGAGGGATTTCTGTTAAATATTTTACCATCTATAAACAGACATTAAGCACACTTTATTATGTCACCAACTTTTATAAAGTCCATAGTTAAAGAATGGAAGATATGCGGTCTACTACCACAACCGGTGTAACTTAAGTTCATTCACCCTCACACAAAATTCCCAACCACCAATTATGGATAAAAATGCTTACGACGCTCTCTCCCAGACACACAAACAACAACAACAACAACAACAACACCAACAACGGCACACATACACACACATACACACACATACAGATAAATGAATACATATTATTATCCGAAGCCTCTATAAACAAACTAGAATCGTGATACACATGCACACATCGATTATACAGTGTAACCATGATTTAAGAAACCCGGATATAAGAGAAACCCGGATATAAGAGAAACCCGGATATAAGAGAGATTTTCTCTGGTCCCAAATTAGAGCCTAAATTTACCTAAACAAAATAGACCAAACCCGGATATAAGAGAAACCCGGATATAAGAGACTTCTTCTCCGGTCCCGACAACTCTCTTATATCCGGGTTATACCGTATACGCAAACGCTGCTTGACAAGACAGATGCACGTGAGGTCTGCTTCACCAATGAAAAACAAATGACGCAATGACTAAAAATACCCAAATTTTCTTTTTTCTTCATATTTCATTCTATGGTGAAGCTTAAATAAAAGCGAATTTATAAACGTTTCCTATTTGTTCCTTATCCTATCATTCTGTCGTATTCCAATCTCCATATTTGATGCGTATTTGATCCGAGTTCACAAGAATCTCTACTTACAACTTCATATATTTCAGTGTTTCTCAACCTTTTTAAAGCCACGGAACACTTAGGAGAAAATGAAAATATCACGGTACACTTAGCAAAATTTTCAAAGGGTATACATTTAAATGTTAAGGAAATAAAACGATAGATTTAAAAACACACAGATATGAACTTATTTTATTTCAATGTTTCTATTCAACTATTTGTGCAGCTTCTTTCGTATGAAACCTGTACTTATTTTCTTTTTTCGCGATTTCTTCAATGTTTGGTTGAATGTCCAATAAGCAGACCCCCTCCCATTTCTTCTTTAGTTCAGCGTAGTCTTTCTCGTTTCATTTTTTATGTTATTTCGGGTTGAGAAGCTTAATTCACATATATAAGAAGTAGAAATTTGTAATAAAACTGATAAAGCCTTTTTAGATAATGCGAGATATTCCTTTTGTATTGAAATCCAAAATATATCAATGGGTACTGTCGAATGTTTTATTTTGCGCCCTCGTTCACTCGAAATGGTGGCCAATTCTTCTTCATAATCGAATAATAGTGAAAAGAATTATTTGAAAAAAAATCTTTGATACATTTATTCAAATACTAACACTGTACCATCACACGCAAATATATATGTCTGCCGTGACAATATTTTGCGACACACTTAAAACGAACGCAAAGTATACGAGTCAAGACACGGCAGTTTAGAATCACTGATATAAAGAAACATATCTATGCACATAACATATATAAAAATATGTTATTAACTTGGTTCCGTTTGCGAAGTACACTTTGCCTTATTTTACCTTATTTTATGTGCACAGCCAACAATTAAATTAGAGACGTTTGCAACGTAGCGTTCAGTTTACAGACGGGAATTTCTATGCTATCTTTCACCAATAAACATTAACTATGTTTGCCTGCACAAATACATGACTTTTCTTTTCATTGCTATTTGTATGGAGATATCCTCTTTAATATCTGAGCCGCCAACACAATGAAAGCCGTTCTACAAAGCAACTGGTTGGTCTCAATTTCCCTCTTTTCTTACTTGCTACTATCAATCGCGCTGTTTTGCCTGCTTCGCAGAGATCTCAGATCTTGTCGACCGGATTCGTTTGCTTGGTTTCAGAGTTCCCCTTACTCTGCCCACTGACATTTTTCTACGAAGCATTCACTCGCCAAACAACCGCGCGCCATCCCAAAATTCTAGTTAAATTTGTGACATCGTTGTAGTTTGGGACACTGCAAATGAATTGTACGTGTCATGTTTGATGTTATTCAGATTGTCTGTTTGATGTGGTTGATGGGTGGCGGACGGTACTTACATAAACCTGAAGTGATGATAAATCATTGCAGATGTAAAATTACAAGAGGAGGGATGGAAAGAGGAGAAGAAGAATGGCTTTGCACCGATTCGATCTGGTTGCCTTGGTAACAGCCGGTAGAATAACCAATCAAATTTGTTGGCCGCTTGAGGAGAGATCTCGTTTCTGCTCGCTGTTGCTTGAATATCAGTGAAAATATAGCAGTAAAATCAACTTCTTTTATGCGCCGTGCCACATCAGGATGTGGGCAATCATGGCTCTTCACAACTTCCTATACTTTGTAGTACTTAGTAATTTTTTTCTATATGCGTTTTTTATTTTTTATTTTCACAATGCTTTACTATTTTTTACTATCATTTCTGTTAGGTAGGTATCTTGATGTTTTTTTCTTGCCTTCAATATATCCTGCGTGTGTCAAATTTTCCAAGCCACTTTTCCTGGTAAGCTATTCTGAAAATTTCAACTGTCTCTTTCTGATTCTAAACGTAAGGGTCCTTCAATTTCAATTTTTCTTAAAACTTCCTTTATTGCTCACATGCTCCGTTCATGGTATTCTCAGCATCCTCCTGTAGAACTACATATATGTTGCCTCAAGCCTCCTATTTTTTTATTTTTACTATTCTTTACACAAACTTCTTAGGTATGTTTCATAATGTTTCCCTCTGTTATCCCGCGTGTGCCAAATTTTCCAAACCACCTTTTCTCATTTCAACTGTTTCTTTCTGATTCTTAACACAAGGGTCCTTATTGTTTCAGATTTTCTTAGAACTCTCTTGTTGCTCACATGATCCGTTCATGGTATTTTCAGCATCCTTTTGTAGAACCACTTTTCTGTTGCAACAAGTTTCCTCTTTTTTTTTCTGTGGGGAAATTGTCCTGCATTCCCTGACATAAAAGGAAGATTGATATTCATAGCAGTTCAGAATTCTCTGCTTCAAGCGAATTTTTCCTCTTTCTTAACACTTTTATACTTTAATTTATTTATATATTGATGTAAATATCAATATATGATATATGAGTATTTTTTCCTTATACTTTATATATATATATATATATATAAATATATATGTTGAAGCTTAAATAAGCATGGAATAATACAACACAAAATGTACGTTAACAAAATGTATTGAAACAAAGAATAGGTACACAATATTTACAGTTAGTTTGGTATATTCTTGGGAAGACTGTTCCTGCATAATGGGTTGACTAAATCGCAGTCGGGCAGAGTCTCTGGATTCAATTTCTTAATCTCTACTATCTTCCCCGTCTTCCGGTACCAACCCATATTTATATGGTCGGTAGTCCGCTTATGTAAATTAGGTGTATCATACACAATATATATATATATATATATATATATATATATATATATATATATATATGTACACACTTTATATTTTTATTTATATATACTTTTATACTTTATATATATTTATAAAAATATGAGTATTTATCTTTTATAATTTATATATATATATATATATATTATTATATTATATTATATATATATATATATATATATATATATATATATATATATATGCATATATATACTTTATATTTTTATTTATATATACTTTATACTTTATATACAGTGGGGGGAAATAAATATTCGTACATATGAAAAATTGTATTTTTATAAATGTAAAAGCCTTAAATAAAACACAGCTCGGCACATTTTATGTAAAGGCACATACTATTTAAAAATAATAATAAACTTAATTAATTCTTATTCTAACAGAAATTAATGCATTTTTTCATTCTAACTGGTGAAAAAAGTATTCGCACAAATCAATGATTAGAATAAAATAATCAATTAATTATGAAAACAGTATATTCTAGAATGTTCCAGTAATGCTGTCAGTAATTATAATTAACGCTATTAGCCATTATCAGAGCATTCTGCAATTTCTAGTATTACGAGAAGGTTCTAATAATGCCTAAAG